CTATTGGAGAACATTGTGCCAATGCACCGTTTCATTATAATATAATAAAACCGTTACATTGGATCACTTCTCTTTATGTTTAGGGCATGTGAGTATTGCACTTGCAGTGACCGTACTTGGGCACTAGAGCTGTCAATGAATAGTAAAGTCAATGTCAGTGTCCCTTCAAGAATCTCTTAAAAAGTGGTATCAAACAGCAGTGGATTGACTTGAGTATTTGATGTAAGCTTTTTATATGTCAATCGACTATCCTACCAAGTTTTGGCTTCATGAAGTGCCGTTTGCCAAATATCCCTTTATAAATTGACCCACTTTTTTTAAGTATAAGTAATACGCCATAAGTAACCTCTAAATCTAAAACCCCATTTCTCGAGCATCCGATATTAGAATACCTTTATTTTGAGGATTTCTTAGAGTCATCTTAGATTAAACTAGTGCCTATTTTCGTGCCTATTTTGGTGCTTATTTGAGCCCTTCTAGCCGGGGTTATCCCTTAATGACTATTAGTGCGACAATTTGGTGTCATGACAATGTCCCTAAATTCATGGTTTTTGCCTAGATCCTCCAAATTTGACTTTGAACTGCAACTATTTTGCTGTCCTCCTTGGGTTTCTATGCCATGTGATCCAGTAAAGATGACCACATCATAGTCCAATTTTATACGCCATAGTTCGACAAAATTAGTTTGATGCCATATTCAAATAGAAATTCCCCCAAACAATTGGAAGAAGAATCAACCCCACAATATCGACATAAGTCGCGAAAATGTAAGAATAAAAATGAAAGAAGCACAAACTATAGAGATGATATTTGCACCATATGCTAAGTTTTTTTTATAATTTTCGTCTGCCCCTCATCATGCTACAAACCTCCATGTCATTCGACTTGATCATAAGTTCATTTCTGTTGGAAGAGAGAATCATATCATATCCTATTAGATAGATAGTCCTGATGATCAAGAAGGGCAATAAGATCTGAGCTAGGAATATCTACAGGCATTCTACACATAAATAATATTTGTTGGTTGAACGTTTCAAAGCTCCATATCCTTTATTTTAAGGGTGCGGTTTGTATAGAGCCGAGTCTCTAAACAATCAAAGTAAAGCCCACCTTCAAATAGTGTCAAGAAATGTGGTTTCAATATTGAAAATCTTTATGATAGCCTTACAATATATTTTCATCTTTAATTATAAAATTTAAAGCTTAAACAATAGTGTAGACCAAGCAGATCTATGAAAACTTGAAAATCTTGAAAATTGACGGTCTAAAAATGTGTTACAAGATGCACTATTTCCACACTTGAAATCTATTTTTTTCTCATGTCGAGGCATCTTGATGTCGAGATGATCAATTTGAGGATATTTGGACATCAAAACAACCTCTTCTAGTGAAATTTTTGAGGTGAACTCTAATTTGATTGTTTAGAGCCTCGGCTCCATATAAACTTTTCCCTTGTTTTAAATTCCCAAATCTTTTAAGCAATAAAAATTCTTACTTAAAGATTCACAAAATAAGAAAAATGTCAGAAAACGTATTTTTCAATTTTTTTTTATATTTTCAAAACAAAATAAGGAATTTTCAAATTTTATTTTAAACTTAGAGTTTTTAATTTAAAAATTAAAAATATTAATAAAATGGACAAACCACCTCAAAATAAGGTGGTTGTGTCAACTAATGTACCAAAAAAGTGATTAATTTTTAAAATTCACCTCATCAATCATATTCTTTAACAAATATCCAAAATACCCCCATTCCATATAGTAACCCGAAACAAGCACAAGTAATTTGTGTTTGCCTAGTCTCCATTTCAAACTCAAAACATATATTTTGAAATCTATTGAAATGGTCTTGGTAGCCAAAACAAATAGAGGTATTTACCGTTTTTTGCCTCGAATAACCAAAAATTTGGGATATAAATGATAATTAGAGGGCCATCTTTAACTTGAGGGAGTAAGTTTATAATGTGCTCCTAAAAGAGTATTAACATGCGCTCGTAGGAGTATGCTATTGCGCTCTAATTGAAACCACTATGGCAAAAAGGAGCTATCACTTCTCCTATCCCATGTTTCAAATTAGGAAACTATTTTGAGAGGACTACATCCCTATCAAAATGAATAAAGCCTCACATCAAAACTAAACAAAAATTGATGTCGAAAACCATCAAATCGATCATCTTGACCTTGGACGTTATGGTGATTAAAAAAGTCAAAAGAAAAAAAAGGGATTTCAAGCATTTTGTAAGTCTATAACACATTATCCAGAAAAATCATTTTGCCTTAAAAATAAGTGCTCACAAATTTGTAAGATTTGTACCATTTATTGAGCTTTAAATTTCATAGGGGGTATTGGAAATTGACAGTAGAGCGATCATGGAGATTTCGGATGCCCATAGTGCTTTCTAGACGAGGATCTAGACCGTCCATTTTTAAGATTTTCATATATTTATGGATCTACTTGATTTTAACGATTTTTGGAATTTAAAATTTTCTAGTTAGATATGAAAATAGATTTTAAGATAAGAGTAATGATCCCATGAGACCCTCCCACACCCATGTGTGTAGGATCCTAAAGAATCATCATTAAATTTGACACAGATCTCTAGAAAAGTCTTGTGTAAGACCCTAAAGGATCAGTATTAAATTTGACACAGATCTCTAGAAAAGCAAGTCTCACACCTATGTGATAACTTTTTTCGAGATTTATGTCAAATTTAATGGTGATCTTTTGGGGTCCTACACACATGAGTGTGGGAGGATCTCATAGGATCATTACTCTTAAGATAGTATTAAGAATTTTTTATAAAAAAATTACATGTTATGATAAATTTTAAGGTGTGCCTTGATTGGGTTGTTTAAGGTTGCATCCTTATAGAAACCGCACTCTTTAAAAAAACGAAGAAGAAAAGAATAACAATAAATGGTCGAAAAATTCTATAGTAAATATTTTGGTCCAAAGATTGGAGGCCAAATACAGATCGCCATAAACACAAAAGTTGAAAAATTATCACTATTTTGAATTTTTCTCAAAAACAAAGTGAAAAAAATTGGACATCTAGATGAAATAAATAAAGTTACAATTTGTAGTTTTGTAGGGATATAATGAAATTATTGAATAATAATTTTATGTTATGACTAGTTCTACTTTGCAAAAGTTTTATCTAAATTTTCATCGAACATGCATATTCACAAAATAGATAATGATTTTATTAGGGGACATAAAATGAAACAACAACTGCAACAAGCACAAAGATTACATTCACAAATAACAAGAATAACAACTCGAGGTACACAATTATTGTTAGAATAGGAAAAGAAAAGAAAAAGGACTTCAATATTGCAGCTAATACCACAAAAGAAATCCAAAAATATGAAACAATCGTTCAACTAAATTTGCCATGTTAATATGTCAATGAAATAATAACTCAAAAGATGGTGAAATTTATCAAACTTAAGTATAGATAGAGAAAATGAAATAAGGCTGGCTTGTGCCACGCAATATGTGTAAGTAAATCTAAATATGCAAATATATGAGAAATGTTACTTTGAAATACATTGATGAGTACTTTATGGAGGAATATAGTTTTTTCGGACCTTTTTTTTTTTGGAATATGTTGGTGAAATTTTGGGTTTAAATTGAGATTATTGATTTAATTCTACTTTAGTAAGCCTATCTCAAAACCAAAATTCAAATATTTCAATAAAGATAGGGGAGGCCTAAAAGAAATTTGAAAAATGAAGGATATGATAATAAGGAAGTTTTTTAATTTTTTTTTAAATCATAAAATTAAAAGACCTTTTAGTTTTAAAAGACTCGGAGTTTGTAATGGACTTCAAAAGCTACCAGGATTTTGAAAAGGGTAATCTACAAAAATAATAATAATAATAAATAAAATAAAATAAAAATAACTATATATATATATATATATATGCCATTATATTTTTTTAGAACTGAAAAATAGGCACAATACTTTTTATTTTACACACAAATCCCAATTTTTTTCTTTTATTTTTTGAAAATTATTTACAAAGAGACTATTTATCTTTTATACATGGAAGTCACAATCATTTTTATCCCTTAAATTTCAAAATGGGTGGTTGTAAGTGTCATTGAATAGATACAAAGTTAAAAAAAAAAAAAGAAGTATTCTTGCACTTCTTTACTCCCCTTGAGCTATCCAGTTTAACATCTAACTGAGTGGAAATGATCGTGATCTCCATGTACAAAAAATAAATGATCTCTTTGTAGACAATCCCTCTAGACACCCCTTTGTATGCAAATACGAGGGATCTAGGAAGAGCCATTATCTTTATAAAAAGTTTATATAGAGCCGAGGCTCACAATCAAATTACACCTAAAAAAATTCAATAGAAGAGGTTGTTTTGATGCTTAAATATCCTCAAATTGATATCTCGATATCAAGATGCATGGAAATGAGAAAAAAAGTGGATTTTTAGTTTTGAAAATAGTGCATTTTGTAATGCATTTTTGGACTGTCAATGTTCAAGATTTTCTAAATTTTCATAGATCTACTTGATTTACATTATTTTTTAATCTTTTAATTTTATAATTAGGTTCAAAAATATATTTTAAGGCTATCACAAAGATTTTCAATGGCAGCTGTCACAAAGATTTTTTTGTATTAAAACCACATTTCGTGATACTATTTGAAAGTACGACTCTATTTTGATTGTTTAGAGCCTCAACCCTATACAATGAAGTCATATCTATTCTCAATTATTCTCAATTATTAAATATCAACTTAGGTACTTTAGGGTGAGCTACAAAATTTGAAATTTTTTTGAAAAATTTGCGTCTTAGTGACACTTTTAAAACTACCCATTTTAAAATTTAAGGGGCGAAAGTGGTTGTGACCTCTTTCTACGGAACATCTTTTGGAGCCTTTTTGGCACGTAGTTTCTTTTAGATATTTTTATTTATTTATTTGTTATCTTAAAATCTTAAAATGCATAAAAGGATTTCGTCATGCCGCGGGACTAGGTCTATGGTAGGTCCCATGACCACGGCACTCAAAATAATGGATCTCTCTCTCAACAGTTTCCTCTCTCAAAACAACAGGCCTGTAGACTAGTTCACAGTTACTTGTTAATGGCGGCCAAGAAGAAGCCCACTCCTCGTCGTGGTGGTGAACGCTCGGCTTATTTCGCTCGCCGAGAGGCCGCCAAGGTCCTGCGCTCTGTGCTTAATGGAGACGCCAAGAGGAAGGCCGTCGCTTCAATTAAGTCTCTTGTCTATAGCCCCTCTATCAAGAACAAAAAGGCCACTTTCGCTCTAGTTTGCCAAACCCTAAAAAGTATAAACCTTGATACCTTGGTGACTAGTGGATTATTTTGCTCAAATTATGACTTCATTTGACGGGCATTTGACGGGTTTTTTGCGAGCATTAGGAATTGGGTTTTGCTTGCATTTCTGGATAGAGTTTTTTTTTTTTTTGTGTGTGTGTGGCCCGGTGTATGGGTTCCGATGGAGATAGTGTTTTTACTGATTGTTCTGTAATTTTAACTATGAAAATGGTAGAAAAAATAATTAAATGCAAATGGGTAAAAAACCATGGCTTTTGACTTTAGTTGCGATTGATTTGGATTTTTCTGTGATTTGCATTTCTGTAGTTTTGCTGGTCATGATGAAATCTGAACTGGGTTCTGTTTAGTTTAGTGATTAGATTGTCTTTGCTTGGTTATCACTTTGTTATGGTCCTTTAAGTTTATCCTTTCTTAGCACTCTGTGCTCTATCTGGTACTTGTATGTTGAATGGTTGGTTTCTTTTTTGTCATGGAAATGTGGTTATTGTACATGAGCATACAGTTTATTATGGCTACTTGATTTCTTATTTTCAATATTCCTTTTCTTTTAATTTTGGAGATGTGATGAATATGCATGAATATACAGTTTTTGAGCATTAAAGTGTCTGGCCTTGTAGGCCATTGTCATGTAACATTGAAGGTGCATGAGATATAAGTTTCGGAAAAACTTCGGAAAAACTAACATTCAATTATCTTGTAGCCATTTCATAAAGAAACCAACACTATTGAATATTCTTGTAACTATTTCCTCAAAAGTGAAGTTACTCAATTCTCTATTTTAAAAATGACATGCATATGATAATTATGGTGTTTAGGAGCTGTTTGAGAGACTCGCGTACTTGGGCTAGTCGGAGTGGACTTGCCGAGCACCAAACAGGGTCAAAGCCCTTGAAAAATTAATACAAGTAAAAAATATTAAAAACTAAAATAAACAGGGTAAAGGTAAAATAAAGTCCAAATTAGTTTAAAAATATATATAAAATATTGATTTTAGAAAAACTGATTTATAGTTAGGAACATTTTTAAAAAATGGAAATATAAAAATGGGCATATGGCCAAAAACAAAAAGGTCACCAATCTTTGCCCATAACGTTCGAATCACATATAAAAATTTTCTGCATCAATCCCCTATTTTTACGGATTTTTTAGGACATTTCTATTCTTTTAATATACCTGGAGTTGTACTGAGTAATTCATGGTAACTTGGCTTGCCAAGAGGGTGAGTCTCAGAAACTTGGCAGAGTATTGGCCTCGTAACACTGTTTAGGAGTATTTGGATATGGAGTCCTGACGAAACACCCTAAGCATGAGGTTCTTAATAGACTTGCTCGAGCCACTGGAGTCAAATGAGTCTGAATCAAGCAGATCAGTTGCTGCCTTACTTAGTTTAGTGGACTATATATATATAGGAAGAGACTACAAAACGCCTATGGGTGAAAATGAGTGATATTTTCGCCCATAGGCTCGGCGCTAGCCGATTTTTTCGGACAGCGTGGATTAAAGACCGTCATGGACATGCTATGTCCGTGACGGGATTTTTTTCACACCAAATTGGCGCAAAAAATATATGGGGACTGCCATGGCTCCCATAGGTCCGTGGCGGTTTTTATGCAAAGCTATGTCCGTGACAGGGCCGAAACACTGTAGCAATTTGTCGATAGGCGTTTTTAAGACTTTTCCATATATATATATATATATATATATATATATATATAAAGAAAGAAAGAAGAATCTAGTCGCCTCTCTTGAGTGATGTGTTTAATTCATCTTTTCCTATTTTTCAAGCTATGATGTGCAAAATCGTATGAAATTTCTCTAATCATGTAATCATATTTAATTAAAATGCTGATTTGGATTCCGAAGTATATTTGAAATGTCTTTGTCCTTAATCTGTCCTAGTAGAAATATTGTTCTTCATGGTTTGTAGTTTAGCATTTTCAACCTCTAACCAATTATCTTTGTGTCTGATTAGATCTTCCACTATTGAAGAAAATTTTAGCAAAATCTGGTTTATTGAAAGGCAAGTGGAAGGTATGAATGAAATGAGGAATCACTTACCAAAAAGAAAAAGAAAGGAATGATGGATTGTTTTATCTCTAGAGTTTTCTTTATAGTTGTTAACTGTTTCTAAATTTTATGGATGTGTGAGAAGATACAAGTATCCTGTTTTATCTCTAGATTTCTAACTCTTCCAACAAACCCATATCTAGTTTGGTTCTTGGAGAGTCTTGCTACTGCATCCTGCTTCCATATTTTTGAATCTCATAGTTTAATTATGTGTTACTTTTGTTCTTCTTTCAATAGAGGCAAGGGGAATTGATCTATGTCGTTACCTATGACGTCCTCTTTGGGCAGGTGATTTCTTTATTTTGGCTTTTTTGTTGCATTGATAATTTTTGAATGCTGTCAAAGTTTCATCTGAAAGATGCTTACAAAGTTTTCTGAAATATGTTATTGAGATAGCTTCTAAGTTTTATTCCTTGTTATTTTGGTAGCTGATTGACGTGGCAATGAACGATTGAGAGCAGATGGAATTTACATTAATCAACTTGAATATACTTCGGAGTGTTGTTATTGACATTGACTTGATTGTTTACTATGACTTACATTAGAAATCTATGCAGGGTTGTAATTTCATGTTTCTTTTCTTGTTTTGTATATCTTGTAACTTTTTTTATGAAATACAGAACCGTAGAACCAATGGTGGCTGAAAACCCTACTCTTGAAAGTTTCAGACCCCACTTTCCAACATGTAAAAGATTTAAATCATTAAATCGATATTTCATTTCTGAGCTAAGCTTTTCTTCACTGTGATATACTTTGTGTTTGTTATATTAATTGCCTTTGATGATGTTCTGTGTACATGCGTTTTTTCTGAAATGGTTTTTGTCTAGTTATTTTTTGTCTAGAGTCTCAGCATGGATCTTTGTATGGTTTCTTCATGTTCTATTTCTTATCATGGAATGATTTCTATGAACTGTTTAAGTGATTTTCTAATATTTATTCCTTAGTTTTGGATGTGTTCTTTATAATTACTTTCACTTTTTTTTTTTGTGATAGGCTGCTGTCTCTACAGGTGTTGCAGAGCAGTTTGTCCTTAAGCAGAAGAATGCTTTGCAATCCGCTTTAGTACAGCTTTGTGCAAAGAAGAATGTGAAGAACGTTGAAGATTTGTTGAAACCAAATTATCGAACTCTTGGTATGGACTTAAATCTTAATGTTATGCGTGCTTTCTTTTTCTGCAAAGCCCCTTGCTATTTATATTCTCTTTCATTTTGTACAAAGCAATATTATTCTGTATACATGTATGGAGTTTCAAGTCATATTCATTGAATTCCACCAAAATCCTAGGATATTTGACACGAAATTGCCCTTTGAGTATCTTTCTTCACGATTTCAAGAGGTTAGGACAATTTCTCAACCAATAATGTTGTGAATATAGTCATACAGCCTCACACACTGGATTTCACATTGTGGTGCGTCAACCGCATATGGGGGTGCTTGTTGTTAAGCACCATGTGCCGCTTATGCTGCTTACTGTTGGTGGGTGAGAAAATGCCCACAGCCAGGGCACTTCGGTCATTTTCCCCCACAGCTCAGGTCATTTTTTTTTGTGGGGAGAGAGAGAGAGAGAGAGAGGAGGGCATAGTTGCGGGGATGTTCCAACATAGTGGCAATTCTGCTTCAAATATGGCTTCGCGGTTTTGGAAAGGGATCTTGATTTTCTAAATTTGCGATCTCGATCCCCATTGTTAGGGATCCCGATTCCTATTATTAGGGATCTCGATCCCAGCTTAAAGAGCAAGATAACACCCAAACTGATGATTTTCTTAATTTATAGCACGGCTAGAAACACAACTATACTTTTAATATGGTTGCATTGCTTGCTGGTTATAAATAAAGAGATATCTACTTTAAAGAGTTTATATAGTCTAGACTATGCAAACTTGTTAAGGTTGGGAGAAATATCCGAAAAGGTCTGGATTAAGATTTAAAAAAGTCGGGATCATGATCCCCAATAGGTTGGGATCTCGATCCCTATTATTTACAGCTCTAAGTCCCTAACATATGTATTATATAGATGGAACTCCCAACCATGGGAATCTTCTACCATTTCTTTCACGATCCCTGCTCCTGATCTTGATCCCAACAACCTTTTTTTTTTTCTTTTGGTGTTTTGGTGGTGGGGGAGGGGAGGGGGAGGGGGGGGGGGGGAGGGGAGGGGGTGTGGAGCAGGTGTGGGTTATGGTGGTTTATAACCCCAAACATCCTTAGAATATTCTTGCAATGGTTCTAAGCAGATTAAGTTATAGAAATTGCTAATTATTTATTTTAGTGGATATGAAGATCTTAACTAAAATCGGGGATCTTTTGGGCAAGTATTTTAGTTTGTTTTGGAAGGATTTTGGGTGAGGATTTACTAATTGATCAAGTTTTTATATTATGTACTTGTGAGGTACTTATATTATGTTATCTCTATTTGATATTTTGGGTTTTGGCTATATGCTACAGCCTACAATATAATAGTACCTTGGTTGCTAAAAATGCTAATATAGTTTCTAAGTATTTGGCTGGTTAGTAGGTATAGGATTTATTTATATTTGTGAATGGGATAGGGTAATTTATTTTACGTTTTAATTGTGTTAGATTATAAGAGAATATACCAACAAACTTTCTTACTCTTTATCATGCTATCAACAATTTAGACAACAAATGTATTCAATAAACACTAAATTAAAATGCATAAGAATTCATAAATCCTAAATCAAAATGCATAAGAATTCATAAATCCAATATTCATGTTATTCTTCATATTCTTAAATTTTGTATTGTTTACATTTATTGACTACATCAAAGGTGATGCACCTGCATTGGGAGCGTGTCGAGCTGCATAGCACACAATCCCCCCTCTAGTGCATTGAATCATCCCACATTGGATAGCATTGTCCATGACTGCGTGAGATGACTAGAATTGATCTTGTACCCATGAGATCTACAATTATTGGGCTAAAGACTACTATCTTCTCATACATTAGACATTGCAAGGTAGAGCTGACCCCAAATAGTTGGGATAGAGCTCTGATGATGATGATGATCAGATATTGCAAGGTAGCTTCTGTGAACTTGGTCTTGTTAGGCTTGTTTAGATAAGGGTGGTTAATAGGATAAACCTTAGTGTCATCCTAGTTAATTTGGTCTCGTTATTATTGTTTTTGAGGGATGCTCAATGTTCTTCATGGGGACGCATTTATTTGTTAATGAATGTGGTGGTTTTTATCTCTTGAATTGTGAATTTTCGATATCTTCATCTAGGAATTTATATTTTTTATGAATTTACTGATACTAGGTGATATGTTTAATAAAGAAAATGATTTTTTGATAGGCTATAGAGAGATATGGATGACATAGGAAGGAGGGAGAAAGAAAATAAAACAAACCAAAAAATTAAAAAGGATACGAGATTATGCTTTCCTTGGAGCCTATATATATATATGTATAATACAGACACACACACACACCTCCCCCCCCTAAAGTCTCTACCAAATTAAAAGAACAAACTAGCCCTAGATATTCTTAAGAAACAAACCCTAACAACAGAAGCAAAAGCAAACCCTAACTACATTAATGTCCCTGGAGAAGCTAGTCCAGGAGCTTAAGGAATTCGGAATTTTTTTCTTCTATATCTTCTCCACTTTTTTCCAACCAGAAGCCTTTTCCTGCTCAACTTTTGATTGTTGAACTTGATCCCCAAGAAGTTATGAGATGCCAATGAAGCCATGTTATCCTAGGCAGTCGAATGTGGTGCTAGAATGTCATACCCCAAGATTTCTAACATTCTCGAGGTGCGACAGACTATTCTTATACTAGGAAAAAATTCAAATTTCTATTAATATATATTGTAACAAAACAAATTTTTCTATTAATTAAAATTGGTACAAAGTTTGCTCACAACTGGTATTAACATGAAGTCTAGGTATACATCTGTTGATAGAACAAAAACTTACAGTGGTGAAGTTAAACAAAAGTTATAAAGGAGAATTTAGTTATGACATGACTGCATTTTCTTCACAAGCTGGTCCTGATGTGCATTTAGCTATGAGACTGCAATTACCCTGAAAAATATTTACCATAGTTTGGTGAGTTTGGCTACTCAGTAAGTGATCATCAGGGTCCTAAAAAGAATCATGGTTGGAAGATATAAACATTTTCTAAAGAATGTAGATTAAAAAAAACAACCTGAGGAAGAATTTCGAGCAAAAGCATTTATAGATAACAATTGCACTTTCACAAATCCACATTTAAACATAATCCAAATGATGGAAATGCATATAAACATTTTAACAGAAATGCATAATTCAAAGGATTTCACCAAATACCCTATTGGCGTCCCAAGTAGGTCACCTATATACGCCACCAGCGTCCTGATTGGTCCAAACAATCCCTGCAGGTCCAAACATACCGCACCGGCGTATAGGATGAGTCCAATTAGCCCCTACCGGACAGGTCTAAACAATCCCTGCAGGTCCAAACATACCTCACCGGCATCCCGGATGAGTCCAAATAGTCCATATTGGCGAAACTGGATAAGTCTTAACAATCCCTGCAGGTCCGATCATACCTCACCGGCGTCCCGGATGAGTCCAAATAGTCCCTACCGACATAACCGGATAGGTTTTAACAATCACTGTAGGTCCACTTATACTCAAATTATCTCTGAAACTCTTTAAACATTAGAAAGCAACAATATCATATGTGCGAAGTATCATTGAAAACATTAACATGAATTCACTTGAAGCAATTTAATAACAATCACTTCCATTGAAATATCTGTAAGTAGCTAGTCAAACATTTTGGGCAATAATTCAAAGGTTGAGACATTCTTGAAATGTAACATGATAAATAATATATTATTAATAGAAGAACTCTCACAAAAATCCATAGGTAAATACAGAATTCTCAACTGTTTAATATCCTTAACAATAAACAGACATAACACAAATCATGTTACATAAACATGTAAAACTTATAACACAAAATTCCAAATTTTTAACCAACTGTTTTTCAGGAAAAGTAAGGCCACTTGCACATAATACTTACAATATCAAAATTCATGCTGATAAATAGAAATACGGAAACAACAGTTTTTAAATAACTATTTTAGAGGAAATTGTGATCGCTCACACATAAAACTTATAAAATAAAGATGATGGACGAAAATAACACAATTGTATTAAAAGCAAACTACTTTTCAAGAGAATAAGATCACTTACTTATGTGTCACTTTGAGAAGAGGAATTGCGGAGACCATTTACATTTTTAGAGTCTTTGCTCCGTTTCTGAAACCATAGGTAACAGTTTGCGGCCCCTTGGCATTACAGGGACTATGCACAGTGCATAACCAAGAAGAAGACAAGATGATAGATTTGCCATTAATGGAACCGCAAGAAACTATACCTTCACTCTTAAAGCTACTCTGACTATCCAATAACAAATCTTTTTGAAATCTGGAAAAGAAAAGCAAAATTGTTCTCATGGTTGAAACCCAATGGCAGCCATGAGTAGTGTATTCAAAGGCTAGCTTCATTATTCTCTGTGACCCAACTATTTACAAGGTTTTCACTCCAAACTGGGAAGGCCATGAAGCTTAATGCTATGAAAGAGAAAAGGCCAGGCAGGGCAGGGATTGTGAGAGGTCTAGAGAGAGAGAGAGCGTGAGGTGCCGCAGTGCAAACAAGAGTGTGATGAGAGGTACAAGAGAGAGACTTTCTAAAGTTAAAATACCTTTTTAGAGGGAGAGAGAGAGTATAACATGAGAGAGAGAGTTTTTAAAATGTTAACACCTTTTATAAAAGGTGTCTTAACTACATCAACGTGGTTTGTTGGGTTGCCATGTAAGGTGGTAAACATCTCGTTTAAAATAAAACATAGTGCAAAGGAAGTTTAGACCATAAGGTCTACACTATAAAAGTAGACTAGCACCAATTTAAACAAAAATAATACCAATTGGTTGGAAATATTTTGTTAAAGCACAGCATCACCAAAACTTGTAATCTAGGCCTGCTAGTTGTAAGCATTTTATTTTATTTTATTTATTTATTGGTTATATCTATCAACACTATTAATATTATGTTTTAATTTCACAAATTTTAGGGTCGTCACATAGAATCTCTTGCACTTTCCATCACTTATATATACCTT